AGCGATCCAACAACTTACATTTCAGGTCTTTGGGCCTCCTGCAGTCCTGACGGGACTCCCTGTATCTTTCCAGGACACACAAGCATACCCTCAGGCTAACTGCTTGCAAGCCAATGGCTGTATTATTTTAATAGAAGAGATTTCATACCATATCCTTTTTGTACCACAATACAATAACCTCAACAGCCTTAACTGAGGAGCTTACTTCACAGTCCAGAAAGCTCAATTTTGTGTTATCTTTATCTTAAAAATGAGCTTATGGAACAAGATACAAAGTCAGTTCATTTTATCAATTAACACTAATTGTAAGAAATTATCCCAAAATCCTGGGAAACACCTATGGAACTTTAAAAAGAAATAAAAAAAAAAAAATTAAAAAAAGAGTTTGAAAAGCATTTGGCAGCTAACTAATTGTTTTACATCAAATGTTTGATCTAGTTGGTAGATAGTGCTAACTACACATAGTAGCCAGTCATGGTCTCAACATTATGCAATATTGCTTTTAAAAAGGGCCTCACTTCAAAACATTTCTGATTTGGGCTAATGGCTTCCTGAATTCAAAAGCTTTAAATCTGTTTAGAAGAATCAAGTCTGATATTTCCCATGCACAAAACAAAAACCAGAAGTATACCACATAGCTTAGTTGCCAATAAGGAAACCTTCATGGAAAATCTTTATGGTCCTTCTGATGAGAGGACACAAACACACTTTTGTGTTCGGGTTTTTTGTTGTTTTTTTTTTCTTGCTTGCCAATCCCTGGCATCTTCTGCTGTAGCAGGTCCAGATAAGTTTCTACACAGCAATTTGAAATACGCCTAAACTGACCATGTTAATTTTTAGTCTGCCTTGGCACATATCTGCAAGGGCTGCAGACATTCTTGGAGGTCTGCTGTTTGCTCAGGCCTTGTTGCTACCAACTCCACTTTCTTCCTCTTTCCTGGTTTGCCCAACTGTCCTCTCAACGTTTTCTACAATTCAGTGTCTTCTAACTGGTTTCTTTTTTAGTTCTCCTTTCTAAAACCCTTTTTTCTCTAAAATTCTGCAAGCTGCTTTTCTCTTCCCCTTCCCCGTGCCTATACCCCTCAAATATATTGCCAAATATACTGCCAACAGCGTAACTGATGTCCTCTTCAACAGATCAAATTCAATCTTTACAAATTCACTTTCAGAGCCTGGTCTATTAATTTACTTTCTCTCTGGACCCATTTTTTTCAAAAACTCCATGTTGTTATCCGCAATACTCCAGGAGCCTTGCTGTTGCTTGCCTTCCTTTCTATTTTGCTTTAGCACATCTAATCATGATGCTCTTTTCTGCCTTCCCCTTCTCCCCAATTTCTTTAAAACCCACTTTTTTTCCTTTCTCAGCAGCTCCAAGATGCTGACCTGATGTGGCCCCATTGCCCACATCTGCACACATGGGAGCTATATGATACTCTCAGAGGCAACACTGTGTAAATACATCAGTGAGAAGATGCTGCCCAGAGTTGGTGGCAGAGAGTTACAAACCAGCCCTAGAAGGGGTTTATACATGAACCAAAAGCACACTCACATAAGCGCTCTGCAGAGGATAATGCCTGACGGACATGATCCTGCTATTGCTGAGTCTAAGAAGCTTAAATAGGGTTGTGGTCCTCTTAATACACACGTGCATGTTAAATCCAATTGTTAGATAACACTAAAAGATGAAAAGAACAGATTATTCCCTAAATACCAGGCACAGACAGTTTCAGAGAATTGCTATGCTAGCGTCAGAGCTGGTCAACAACATCGGTTTACTTCAGACAGAGAGAAAGTGAATGTAATACCCATTCCCACTAACCCTACATTACACATTCTTCAGATTAGGAGTATCCTCCTACCTATTCAGTTTAGCCACCTCCCAGTGTGGATTCAACTAAGTAGGAAGGCACTTTTATTCTGGGATAAGTATTTACATACCAAATTATTCAAGATTAATAAAAACTAGTTTTACTGTCTATAAACATGCTTACTATCCACAGAATATTGCCTTGGTTGAGCATTTGAGCACAATCTGCAATTCTGCTGAAGACTGATATGAAGTACAGGAGCCAACAGATCTAAATTTCCTGATATTTAGAGCCACATCCAACAAGACATTAGTTAACAAGTCCTGACAAGTATATTAATCTATAACATATACTCATTGTATAACTTATAACAGGTATAACATATACTCATTGTACTTCTTGCATTATCTATGATTTTCAGTCTCAACACACAAAAACCGCTACCACCTCTTAGCCATAAATAGTATTTCTTACCTATTATATGAAAAAAATCCAGGTACAGTACATTAGCTATCAAGTATTGCAACAGAAGGCCTATACAATAATTCCAAATAAACATGGAACTGTCACAAGATGTGTTAAAAAAGTATCTCCTACTGATTCCTCCCACAAGATGCTAGAAAAGAGATTACACCATATTTAAAATTCCTATTAAAATAAATGCTTGATCAAACAACTTCATTTACCTTATTTTATAGCCTTTCCTAATATGATTGACACAATTCTGCTGCTTAAGAGATTTTTTTTTTTATTCTTCAATCCACAAAGTCCTTCTTGGCCAGTTATGTTCCAGTACTACCAGATTACCAAAACAAAAGCCTTTCTACTTTTTTCAAACAAATTTTGAAGAAATATAAACAAGACTGTGCAAAGTCACATACCAGGCAGTGCAAGCATAGAGTCAAATTCTCTGCAGTTGGATACTCCAGTGCTGTCTTCTGCACAGCTCTTCCACAGGTTTTCAAACAGTGTAGACGTTGTGATCACGCTACCATGTATACTGGAGACTTTCCAATAATTATTTGGCAAAGTAGCTCCAATAATTGCCAACCCACCCAAACACAAAAGAAACCCAACAATTTCCAATGCAGCAGTCATACTTGTAAGTAGTAACAGTTAAATATCCCTATAATTAGATTACAATCAACTGAAGCCTTTCAGAAGCCTCCTTGCTGTTTTATCTCTGGGTTTCACTCCAAAATGAGACTACCTTTGCTCTTTGCTCAACCCCAGAGATAAGGCTTACAGTGCATGACAATAAGAAGTGGGAGCAGTTCATGATAAAGATATTAACATTTTTTTTAAAAAAAGACAATATTGAGTCTTTTTCTAATGAGAAGTGACAAAGTGAGCCTATTTCTGGTCTCAGCCTACAAAGTCCAGTCAGTATTTCTACAAAATATCTTGTAAGAGTGATAATCTTGGCAAATATCTTATTTCTGTCTCTCCTCTGAAGTCAACTAGGGTTTACACAAGATTAAAATTGTTTGTAATTTTATTATTGATCTCTAATCAAAAAGCTTTACTGTGTTATTTTCCTGATGACTCAAGCATAAAAAAGCTTGAGAACAGGAACTTAACACATTTTTTGGCGTTATGGTGATAAGTAATCCATAGCAACTGTACTGCCAGCTTCTTTCAGGAAGGTTAAGTCTGTGGATGAGTGGTTTCCATTAATATTTTACAGTCTATTGATCTATAGTTAAACACATTCAGTATTAATAATAGTCTCACTTACACTGGAATACAATTGTAATAATGTATGTTTCACGGAAATGAAATATAAGGGAATGAATGAGCCAGTGTGACAGACCTATCTCAAAAGGAATAAAATGATGAAGGAAAACAGCTATATGAAAAATAATATATATCATCTCATTGCATCTGTTTTTGTCAGAATATCTTAGTATTTAAAAAAATCTAGGCAAAGTAGAAGTATGTTAAACTTGATTTACTTGCTCCTGCTCTTGACGAAACAATATCATAGACTCAATTCACATCACACACTAATGTTAATACCTTAAACTGCTTGTGTATCCAAGCTGGGTTAACCATCTCTTGCAGTGATAACCTGCTCTTATCTCCAGGAAATTGAGTCAGAGTTTCTTCATAAAATAATCCTGCTATGATGCAACACAGTAAGAGATTCAAGGCATTTACCTAAAGACTACCAGAAGGATTAGCCATTGAGAAAGTCACAACTTGCCTATAACAGATATCTGTGGGGGTTTTTTTCCAAATTCACCGGTCACTTTGAGCTGATGCTGTAGGTTGGTAGGCTCAGCTGTAAAAGGATACTACAGTGCCACCATGACTTTTTTGCTCCCTTGGCAGCCAAGAGGATCATTGCCATTGATTTAAATAAGAACAGATTTGGCAGCACAGCCAGTGCGATCCTGTGCAGCTCTGTACTTGCAGTCTTTTAAAGAAACTAGATGGCATGTGGCAAGAATTGATCTTCTCAGCTGACTTTTACAGAATTCCCTCCTTCTGGTAAGTCAATGCAATCTGAAAAATGATGGCACAGTAAAATGAACACATTGTACCAGTATACTGGAATATCTGCATCCCACTAAAAGCCCTTCAAAGTTTCCAATTAATTTATGAATGCACAGGTATTACTCTGGTGACCTCAGCAACCACTTCTGCTGACAGCACTTCCAAAGTTGAGGTTAGTTGGAAACTTGAATCAAGTGTCCCCAGATTTTATACTGCTGCCAAGAATTTTAAAAAAAAAAAAGTTCATTTAAAAAATATCTCTTCCTAATGGCAGTTAAGGTGGCTATTTCAATAGGCACTCATAAGGCATACATATAAACAGAAAAGATTAAACTGAAGATCTAAAATGCATGAGTGTTTCCTATATGGCACCAGACATTTCAATCATTCTCATAAGGAAATCACTCTTCAACAGTGTTGAAGAACATAGGATTATTCTTCGTTAAATTTCATAAACTATACCTTGGTAAGTGATGGACATAACAGCACACGCTGCTCTGCAGGAGGATCTGCAACAGCAGCATAAAAGAGTTGGTGTTGATAGCTTCACATCAACACCATCCACGACTGGGGAGTTTTCCTTCAGGCTTGCTGTAACCCAGTGGGGCAAACTGAACACCTGTCAACAGTTGGAAGTCAGGAGGTGTATCCTGGAGCATATTTCCCTGCTTAGCTTCATCCATGAGGAAAACAATTTGTGCACACCAAGACCACTCTGCAATGCAAACCAAGTACAATAAACAGGAATAATTGGAAAATTCACCACAAAAGTGTACTCCTGATGTAGTAAAATGCTAACATTGATACACCAAGATGTAAACATATATGACCATAGAAAGAAATTGCTCCTAATTCCTGATATTCTCAAAACAGAGCATATTTGCATGTAATATGCTTGAGAGAGGGTTTACAGACCGAGATGATAGTATTTTTTAAAATCAGATCAGCCAATATAGTTGGGAAAAAACACTTATACGTTTGATCAACATGAGCTGTATCTTCTTGATCACTTCTGCAGATTTGTTTCAAGACCCAGGAATGCTGACCGAGCACTGTAGGAAGAGAAACAGCCCTGCGATAGACAGCAATTACTGTCGAGGCAGCCACATGACATGCCCGTCATTTGGCATGAGGAAGCCCGCACTGATTTTAGGGGACACACACTTCTTTGAACAGCTGAAGATGATCCACTGAGCCCTGGCAACCAGGGCTCTTCCAGTTATGGGGGTCACAGGAAGGGAGGGAAGAGAACCCCTGCTTCAGCTCACCAGGAAGTCTTCTGTTCCTGGGGAATATTTTCTTTCCATGTTGGGTGTAATGAAACTGCAGTTTAAGAAAAGGAGGCTGCCCCACATTGACTCTGCTTGTCTCCATAACAGGGCTGAAACATGTTTCTGCCTGTTACACAAGGCAAGGCAGAGCTGCCACATGATCGTAAGCATCCGTGTCATCTTGCTACCATGTACAAGAACAGAAGGAGTGTTGGTCCCATCTCATCACTCTGATTTCCAGAAATCATACCTAAATTTCTAGATGAAACTTAGGCATCCTGGTATCTACACAGAGCAAGTCTTAGAGAGGAGCATTCTGATACGGGGTACCAAAACAGTATGAAAAGCTGACATTGTCTCTGACACAATGAGTAGAGTTTTTTAAATCCTTGGAAGGATACGATTAGCGTCCTTTTGAGGCTAGAAATTCTGGCCTCTTTACTTATTCCTAAACTGGCACCATTGTTATGAAAGCAGATGAGGCCTCTGAAGTCAGGGCCCTGAGGAAGAACCACAAATATGCTGAATCTCAAGAGATAACTCTTGAGAGCTAAACTCTCCCATTTTAGAGATCTGCCTTACAGTTAGGCAGCTCTGACTTCAGTGGAGTCCAGGTCTGTGTCAAAAAATAGCAAGCATTCGTAGTCTGTGAGATGTGGTGGTTGTAAGTTTTGAGCACTGCGAATCGGGAATAAATCAGCTGGAAAGAGTCCAGACAAACAGCAATGACAGTAATCAGGGATCTATAAAGCAGGGAAGGCTTGAAGAAATGATTCCATTATATAACTCGTAAAGTGACTGCACCATACTGAAAGTTGTAAAAGAATAAATGCAAAGTTCTGTTTATGACAGAAAGCTTAACAAAATATCAGTTTTCAAAGGCTATAGTGTTACTGTTTCTACACTCAGTTTTCTGAGGAAAGAACTTAAAATGTTGGTCCTTCACAGTCCTTTACCATAAAAAAAGGTGTTTACAGAAAGATATTTTAAAAATCCAGAATAATCCAAACAAATAATTTTCAGTCCCTACAAAGACAATCCTTCTCTATTTGCAGATAAAAACTACCCTGCTAGCAGAGTCTACCAAGAAAATACAAAAGCATCAGTTGCACAGACATATTGTAAGCTGGCCAATCTGAGAAATTCCAGAACAAATACACAGATTCAGCACAAAGTATCAAACAAGTTCTGGAATATCTATGAAGACCTGTCTCACACCAAGCCACAAAAAAGCACCAGCGCTCATTGACCTATGATCTGCTTGTAGTTAAGAATTAGACCAAGTAAAAGGACACTATTTCTTCCAAAACAATAAAAAAACCCCCTTAGATTAATTGTATACCACCCCTATGCCAATGCAACAGAGATGTCAGTAAAGTCACAGCAGTTACTGAGCTGAACTGCGGCGTGAAGCATATGGGTTTCACTGGAGCCCTTTAAGCTGTCTGCAAGTACTACAGGACAAATCCTGTCCATAGCAGACTCTCAGTGACACCTGCAGTATATGCGGTCCAACCGTGCTAACACGCTGTCCAGAAAGAAGGGATAAAACTACATCCCTGGATTTTATATACATATGCCACATGCACTTACTGTCAGAACTCAACATGTAGAGAAAGTTCTTGCACTGTATTGATCCTAAAGCAGTCACTGCACAGTCCATCCAAAGACCTTCAGAAATCCAGTCTGCAGTAACTAGCACTGTTGCAGTGTCTGAAATTTTCCATCTGTTGGATATGGTAGTAACAAGTAAAATGGAGAATCCTGCTAAAGCCAGTAGCAATGCACAAATTTGTAGAGAAGATGACGCCATTCTTCAGACAGAAGTTGTTTTCAGAGAAGCCTCCCAAAATTTCTGATATTAGAAACCTGTTGAAACAGTTCATACACATACAGAATATGGAGTTATCTTTAGTGAAGCCTGACCTTTACAAAAACATCAAAAAGATGCCTACCAACAAAATAATTTATCAAGTAAGGGAATTGTAGAACTGGAATCTAAATCTCAGTGAATAATTGGAATACTTAAATATTCTATGACATCTGAGTATTTTCTTAGGAACACTTTTATTAGCGTACATATTTACTACAAAAAATACCTACAGAGCAAAACTAGAGGACCCAACTGAGGGCTTCTCTAATTTGACTTTGCAATGTTTCTTCGGTTCCTTACTTGTTTGTGAACTCAAAATTATTTTAAAATTAAAACTATCAAATGCTTTAATAAATTGTTCATCTCCCAATTACAATGCCTATCAATACAAATTTAAACCAAAATAAACGTTGATACTCACGTTGATGGTATGTTAGTAACCTGTTTCATCTACCTTCCTGCTGGACACTAGTGTCAGCACTTTGTGAGGACCAGTTTGATCAAACAAGTGAAAGTTTCGTACTCTGTAGGACCTTTCCCCCCCATTCTAAAAATCAAGGACCCAGGGCCAAAGCTCTGCAGGACTGTTGCACAAAGGCTCAGGCATGGCTTTTCACTACAATGAAGTTTCAGTGAAATGAACAACTCAAATATGAAAATTACAACCAAGTCATGTAAGTTAGTACCAAAGATGCTCAGATTAAACTGGCAACCATTGGCATATAATGTGCTTTGTCAGTGCCACTGAGCTGCCCATGTACCAGACTCCAAAGCAAGACAGAAAAATATGATTACAATTTTCACAATGATCGGTTTACTTGAAACTTTTGTTGCACTTGTCACCAGGACACTGCTTTCATGAAAGGAGGCCTGTGTCCATATAAGACAAGCAAACAATTGAAGATAGGATTTGTTTTAGGATGCAGCCCACACTGTGAGGGAATATGCACGTTTTCTGCATTAAAAAAAAAAAAAAAGAAAAAAGGAAAAGAAGAATTCGCATCTCCTCCAATAATCATTCATTTTAAATGGCTGCAACACTCAGAATTTGTTTGCACAAGGAAAGGATTAAACTTATTCCACTCTTAAAAATGTGTATATTCCACTATAAAAGTTTAATGTCACATTGAGAAGGGAGTATTTGTCTTTCAAGTGATTGTGTAACCTCTTCAAAACACACAAAACTGTCAACAGAGAATATCAGATATAGATGATAAATTTAAATTAAGCAACAAATGCAAGCAGACTTTACACCACATGGGCAGGCCAATAATCCAAATGAATGTTTCCGCCTATTATATAGGTATGACCCATGCAATCACAATTTACTCCTGGCAGTAAGGAAAAGAAGATAAAATGACATGCTCTGCACCATCACTATGGGTAGGACATATGTCAAACTTGTAAACACAAATTTCTCATTAAAATACAATAATTTAAAATATCATAGGTTTCAAAGTGAGGAAGCTTGGAAACTAGATTTCACAAATACAGAATAACAACCTAATAATAATAAATACAGAATAACAACCTAACAATAAGTGGCAAGAAGGCTAAATTTTGATAACATGGTGCACAATGGACCAACTGAAAGGTGTTTTATTTTCCAGATCTTCTTAAGATAAGCATGCAAAGAAAATCTTTACTATTCAGAAAGCAAAGCATGCAGTGCTGGTATTTGAATCCCTAGGGGTGGGGAGTGGGACTGGTGTCTCAGTGAGGACTGGGAGCCCCGTGATGGGTCACATATCAATAGGCCACACAAGGCAGAAACAGAGCCCTAGAGCCTCTCCTGAAATGCATGTCTCCAGTGGGTAAAACATGGGCCAATAGGGAAAAAAAAAAAAAGAAAAAAAAAAAGAAAAAAAAAAGAAAAAAAGAAAAAAGAAAAAAAGAAAAAATAAGAAAACCAAAGGCAGAGGGGCTGTTTAAAAAAAAATCCCTTTTCTTTATATTCTTTATATTTTCCTGGCAGCATTTAAGCCCTGCGATCAGTAATCAGTGCAGACAGACACCCATCCAGTGTCACATTAACAAACTGTGATTTCAGACATGCCCCAAGGCAGGACAGACCTCCCTGGCTCCTGGCCGGAGGAGGTCCAGCAGCCGGAGACAGGGACGGCTCTGCAACCACTTTGCTGCTGCTGTTCCTCCTATCTTTGTTGTCCTCTGCTCCAAGGAGCCACTCTGACTCATCCCTTCCTGACCGTGCAAACCCCATGGGACAGACCAGATGATACCTTATTCCCTCTGGGCCACCAGCCATGCACAAGACTGCAGTCCCCATGCAATGGCGGTGCTGATTTCTCACCACTCTTGTAGTTTTAACGATACAAGTAATGCCATTGAAATGCACTGCTTTAATAGGGTTAAGAGTTCGCTAATAGAAACCATCTGCAAAAGAGAAGCTTTCAAAAGCAATCAGCTTGTTACTTCAACTGAAACCATCCTCCTCTTTCAACCCGTACCACGTACACCTTACCCCTCAAGGACTTGATTGTGTTAGCTGCCATACACTGTCACTGTCTATAGATTTGAGAGGATAGCACAACTAATAGCAAATATGCTTTGCAACTGTCCAAAGGAGAATGAGCATAAACCAAATACATACATAAACCCAGAGCATCATCCCTCACAAATTGCACACATAGGCTATATTCAACTAAGAGCTGTAACGTTATAAATAGAAGCCCTGAGGGAGCAACAAGATCACCTTAATATTAAAGGGAGCACAGTCAAAATGTGTCTGGTTGAACACAGGACAGGAAGGGTTAACAATGAAAAATATTTAAGTCACTTAAACAAACAAATCACTCCTGATAAGGTCTCTGGAAGCAAGAATGAGTGATAAAAGTGTCAAAACTGGGAAGTTAAAAAACTTTTACTTCTTTTTCACTTTGTTACATAGAAAAACAGAGACAGAGCATTGATTACCACACTGGTTTCATTTACATATATATATATATATATACACACACACACACACACACACACACATTTTAACACTAGCAATGTATAGCTTTGAACCTGCTAATCATTTCTTAGTTCAAGCAAATTCTGAGGCTGACCCATGGCCACTACTGCAATCAGAAAAAGATAAAATGCAGATTTAAATACAGTACTAAACCACTTAGAGCAGTCTCCCACCACAAGTCTATAGAGGTTTCTTCAGGTCAGGCTCTGGCCTTGAGTTGAGAAGTCAAACTCTTTCATTACTTTTTAAAAAAAAAAGGAACAATGTTAATTCATACCTCTCCGCTTCCAAACAATTTGACTTTGTAACTGTGCTCCTGAAGCTGGTGTAACTTATGAATAGTCTAATTAGGCTCACTCTCATCTTGCTATTAACTTTCCCTTCACATGACGAGCTACACAGTAATTTGGGTTGGAAGGGACCGCACTGCCGCCAGCCTCCCTCTAAAGCACAGCTTCAGCATCGGTGAGCTCGCCCAGGCCCCTCCAGTCACGCCAGGGCGGCCCCAGGGCTGGAGACAGCGCAACCGCTCTCCCGTGAGCGTGTTCCTCACACCCACGCTGAACTTTTCCTGCTGCAACATGTGGCTGCTGCCACGCGTCCTTCCCGTGCACCTCCGAGATAAACCACTGTTTACTGAGTGGCTTGATTTTGGCAGCTCTGCACTCTGACCTCAGGAGGCCCCGGCGTGACTGACGCGTAGGTTGCTTGGTTGTCCCATTAGTATCTCCATGGCAAGATAACCAGAAAGGTGCATGTGACTTCCTGAACCTTCCCAATGACCAGTTATTTTCAAAGCAAACACGCCTATGTTCTTTTCCCATTTAATTTCAGGAAGGGGGTCGGTGTTTGCAGCAACAGCTGGGCAAGGACTGCTCCCTGCCAGCATGCTGCCTCACCAGCCCTGCCAGAGCCACCCGGCCGCACCACTGGCAGGAAGATCGTGCCGGGAAGAGCAGCACAGTGCCAGAGAGCGGGAGCCCCGGATGGCAGCAAGGATTGCCCAACACCTGGGGACAACCCACCCGGGCGAGGAAGAGCATGGCGAAGAGCCCTGAGAGGAGGCGGCGGGGCAGGAGCAGCTGCCTCGCGCCTGGTCAGCCATGCGCAGCCCTTTGCTGGGGCAGCCTGACTGTGAGGCGAGGTGAGGAAAGGCGGTGAGGTGTGGTGAGGTGGAGCCACGCAGCGGAGCAAGGCAAGTCTTGCCTCCTTGGCTGCTGCAGGCTGAGCCCCAGGCTAGGGGGAGACGGGCTCTATCTATTCCAGAAGGCTTCTAGAGAAAACATTAAA